ACGGCCATCCGGCTAGCTTACACCCGAAATAACCACACAGACACTATATTAATTAAAACACTGCTTGGTCCATTAGCTCTAACTTCTTATTTCTAACTCTTATATTAAATTAACCCATTTCTATTAATCTGTATATAGCCACATGGCTGTGGCTTACCGGGAAAGATTCGGCATGTCTGTCTCTGGCAGCTCCATGGTGTTCCTCTCCTACTCTGCCTCTCTTCCTCCCAGCATTCAGTTTTGTCTTCTCCACCTACCTAAGTTCTGCCCTATCAACCAGGCCAAGGCAGTTTCTTTATTCATAAACCAATGAAAGCAACACACAAACAGAAGGACCTCCTACACCAGGGAATCATGAAGGAGGTATAGACACATTCTCATTACACAGCAGCACTAGATACCTGAATATCAAAACACACTATGAAAATACACACTACATGTGTAAAAAAAATGCATTCAGGTCCTAATCTTTGATGAGCAAATAAGGTGGGTTGAGTCCTTGCCAAACAATGTCTGACCCCATGAGTTTGATACCCAGCCCTGAAAAGAATAAAAAGAATTTAAAAGCTGAGAACACATGAAAACCTTCTTCTCAGAAAAACTCCAAATAAACAAGCTTTTGGTTTAAAATAAAACTTCTGGTAATACTCGGGGAGGACCAGGATGTGGAATGAAGGACTTGCATGTTTGAACGCAGCTGCTGAAGAGTGTAAATTGGATTCACGTCTAGAAAGCAATTTGGCAATGTGTATCAAGAGCTTTTAAAATGTTTATACCTTTTGATTCCGTAATTCCACTTCTGGGAATCTATCCTATGAAAATAATCGGAAATGCAGGCAAAGGTTTACGCACAAAGATATTCTTCAAAGTGTTATTATAAACAGACTAGCAGCCCAATCGTTGAATAATGTTTAAATAAATGGTGGCTAGTATCACACTGGATTGTAGCTATTAAAAAGAATTCATAGGGGAAATGTCTGAAGCCCTTGGAAAAGTTTGGGATGGCATCATCATTATTTTAAGACCTGTACGTGTGTGACAGGGCTATGAGCACTTTCTAAATCACAGACAGAAAGAAGTCGAGATAAATTAGCCAAGATGTTTTACAAACGGAGAGAGAGTGCCTCTGGGTGGGGGCATTCCATGGGTGCTCTTCTCGTTTGCTTTTCCCTTGCTTTCAACATTAGACAACAGTCTTGTATTTTAAATAAACAAAAGGTGAGAGAAGCAAGAAGACGGCTGATGTGAGAAATGCTCGTGCTCCCTTAAAGATGCACAATGCGCATAAAACACCAGGTAGCTTTCGATGCCCTGGAAGTGGACAGAGGCTTTAAAACGTCCTTCAGTATTCAGTGTTGGCTGTGGCAGGCTAGAGTGAGAGCCATCTGTCCTCTGATTAAGCATACCATGATTTAAAAAAAAAAAAAAAACAGAAAATGCTTTGGAAATGAAGTCCCAAGCACATGAAGAGCCTTTCTTCTCATTCTAAACACCCATCTTCTATGCAGCTCACAGCCAGAAATTCGAACAGCAGCGTGCTGGCTCCAGCCCCTCTTCAACTGTACACTATCATGGCCAGCTTATAAATGTATTTCTCTCTGGTCTCTTTGCCTTTTTCTAAAAAAATAAATAAGTAAATAAATAAATAAATAACGCCAGTAGGATCCAATCACAGAGGCTCCATCGTAATGTCATGATCTAGGCCCTTCTCAAATGCCTCATATCTAAATGTCTAAATATAGTGGGGTGAAATTTCCAGCCTCCTAGCACCATTAACACATGGTTCTAAGGGCTAAGCACTTGCCAGAGTTTGGTAACAGGATAGAAACCATATTTAGAGCTCTGTCTGAAAGAGGGTAGGGAGGACAGGCAGTGTCACCAGGCTCCCCATTCTCTTCACACAATATCAACAACAAAGCAGTCACATCCTGTTCATTACAGGGTCAGAGAGCAGGTGAGTATTGCCCCCCATGCACCCTGGATTCCTGGGCCACAGTTCTCAGCACCCCTGCTTAGCCTCCACGGTCAGAGCCTCAGGAAAGACCTCTCTGCTTCGTGGCATTGGAAAGAGAGACTGGAAGTTCCCTGAGAACAGCATTGAGAAAACATTTCTCTCTTAGCTTCTCCTAAGACACTGCCAACATGCAAAAATACATGATCCTCAGATCAAAACAGTAAGAAAGTTTATTCCGGAGCCAAGTAGGGTGACCATGGCCTGGGAACACAGATATAGTTACCCCGGATTCCATGTGCTAACACAGGAGTGGTTTCTTTTTTATATATAATGATAAAACAAAGAAAATCATAAATCAAGAGATTTCAAGTCCATTAGTAGAAACATCAGGTAGGTGATTTACAACAAAAAGAGAAAATCTCTCTGCTATTGACCTCGGATGTTATCTGATGGCATTCTTAGCGTGTGGATCGATGGAAATAGCGGTTGATTTGCTTATTCCAAAAGGTCTTACTTAATAGTCACATAGATGTTAGGTCACACACAAGGGTAGGCAATAAACAGGGCTGCAGCAGGCCAAAAAATTTGGTTTGGGACCAAACATTCCACCTCTCCGAATCATTGAGCCGCTTGTCAAAATGAATGCTCACACAGGTGTGGCTTTTTAATTTTTTTTTTTAAACCTGGAATTTAAGTTAAAAGCACAATTGATACATGGAAAATTGGTGTACGGGATTAAACCCATGAGATGAACTCAACGCCTTACCTTTTCACAAGAGCATTGACTCTCTGGTGTGCTTTTGATGTTTTTGATCCTGGTTTTTTTTTTATCTCTGCGTGTTTGGAACTAGCAGGGTGTGGGAAGAAGGGCAAGCAAGCCTTTATGGCTTGTTAAAATGCATGCTGTATGCTGTGCTTACAACCCAAGAGCCACTGGAAGAAACATTAGCCTATGCTGTCCCAGGGCACAGGGAAAGGTGGATGGCATCCTTCTCTCTGAGTGAGGAAGAGAGGGGGAAAGATGACCTGACCTGTGAACTACTGGGCACTCATCCCAGAAGCAATTAAAGCACTGTGACGTCCACCCAAAGCTGCGCTGGGCTTCAGCTCTGATCCCTGCTAGAACTGGTTTTTGCTGTGTATTAATTTCTCTTCCCTGCTGTAATGAACTACCAGAAGCTTAATGGCTTCAAACAACACAAATTTATTTTCTCATTGCTCCAGAGGGCCGAGGTCTGAAATTGCTTTCACTGGGCTTGTGCAAAGCAGTCTGAAACGGGGACTTCCCTGGGAAGTTTCTAGAACCTTGCTGTTGGGCAGAGCTGTTTCCTCTCGAAAACCTGTTTCCCTGCCTCTTCAAGCTCCGTGGGGCTTTTGTGGTCATTGAATCATAATCTGCCCTCCCATTCTGAAATCCATGCTTCTCTTGTTACGTTTGAGGGAGGCACGACCAAGGAAAACTGGGGAAGGAGGGGGAGAAGTTAGTTTCCATGCCTTGGGGAGTTCTCCAGTCCATTTAAAAAAAAAGCATAGAATTTTTGATATTAAAGATTATCTGTCTGGTGGGGACCCCACATCACAGTCAACTAAATCTAGCTTCTTAGACAAAACTGGAGAAACTCACCTGCATGTGAGGCTCAAAGGAGAGGGAACTAAGGCCTCCGGAAGCACAGAGATGGCAGGATCCGATGGGAGGCCTATTAAGGCACAGCTGCCATGGCAAGGAGTAGAAGCTAATGTAACCACACGTGAGTTGTAGGAAAAGGGCTCAGGTTTTACGTGGATATAGTTGACCATGTTGGAGCACCAACTGTTGCAAGGAGACCGCTTGTTCGTCCCGGGCGCCCGGCTAGTTTAGTCCTGAAATAATCACACAGAAACTATTCATTAAATCACTGCTTGGCCCATTAGCTCTAGCTTCTCATAAGCTAACTCTTATATTAATTTAACCCAATTCTACTAATCTGTGTATCGCCATGTGGCAGTGGCTTACTGGGAAAAATTCGGCATGGCATGTCTGTCTGTGGCGGCTCCATGGCGGCTCCATGGCGTCTCTCTGACTCTGCTTTCTTCCTCCCAGAATTCAGTTCTGTCTTCTCCACCTACCTAAATTCTGCCCTATCAACCAGGGCAAAGTAGTTTCTTTATTCATTAAGCAATGCAATCAACACACAGAGGGGACTCCCACATCAGTGAGGGTCACCCCAAGTGGGCCCTGCAGCTCATCTCCCTTGGGACCTGAGCCACTCACCCTCTGAGAGCTAAGTTCAGACTTTTCCTTCCCTCTGTTCGGAAGGGAGATGATGCCAAGTCAGCCTGCTCCATCTCCTCACTTCATCTCTCAGGCTTACAATGGGCTGGTTAGTTATCACAATGTATCGCCATTAATTCAGAAACCTACAAATGCTAACATGTTCATTATAAGACACAGTCCTCCATTTCCTTCCCTGAAAATGTGGTTCCTCTAGGGGTTTGGGAACTGAAGTGCATCTTAGTAACATAGGTAAAATCCATCCTTTACTAGGAGAGGCAGTGGAAAGATAGAGAAGGGACATGGCCAACAAAGCCAATCCCAGAGGTATCAGGTCCATCTCCCATAATGATGTAGCAGAAAGTACATATACTCTCTAAATCTTCTCTTTAAGTGCCTGATGCTAGGATCTGATGTCAGAGCCTAATGAGATTATACTGGATCAGGTGTACCTGTTGGAAACCCAAATTCTGCCTTGTGGGTAAAGCTGTGTAGAACAGGGCATCTACCAGGAGGTTCTGCTATGTGAAAATCATGGATTCTAGGATCCCAGATTCTCAGAGAATATGGACCAACTCTCAGCCCATCCGTAGAGTGTGAGATCCTAAGTAGATTATGAATGTGTGTGAGCGGCTTTGGTGCTTCCCATTGGCCTTGAGTGTGGCCAGATGGAGATGCAGTCATCTCTGTCAGTCCGTGGGATGTAATTAGTGGAGCAATCTTCCCACAAAACCAGCCAATGTCTGAAGCCACCCAGACTAACAAGGAACATGTTTCTGTCCGTGTGCTCTCTAGGACCATCCCCAGGCTCCAAGATGGCCTTGCAGAGTTCCTTCACTTGTTGGAATGGGACAGTCCTCCAGCTCGGACAAGCCTGTGACTTCCACCAGGACTGTGCCCAAGGAGAAGATGAAGGCCAGCTATGCAGTAAGTTGAGGGGGTGTGGTTCTGATCCTGCTCAATCTTAGCCCCTCATGCTTGTAACCCCTTCACATCCCCATTACACCATGTTTGCAAGCCTAGGTGACCTTCCCGACACTCGGTGACCTTTGTGACTACTCTCTGAGTAGAATGTGGTACTAAGATATGAGGTCTAGTCCTCCATGGTCAGTTGTCACACCTGTTCAAAACCAAATAAGGGGCTGCAGAGATGGCTCGGTGGTTAAGAGCGCTTGCACATGCAGAAGACGAGGGTTCAGTTACCACCACGCACACTGAATAGCTTACAACTGCCTGTAACTCCAGCTCTGCAGAATCTGATGCCCTCTTCTGGCCTCTGCAGGCACCTACAATGCATGTCATATACATACAACAAGCACACACACACACACACATATACATGTTAAATATAAATAGAAGATTGCATCTTCAAAGTTTTGCTCTGGTATCATCAAGCCCAGAGGAGATGGGCAAGATGAAGTCTAGCCCTGTAGTGTGACATTAGACATCTTTATGCCTAGACTGCCCTCCTCACTCTTTCTCCCCGTCTCCTGTCCACCCCAGCTGCAACCTTATCAAACCACCGTGAGGCTCCCTGGCGCCCGCCTGGCTTTGCTCGAGTGGTTTCCCCTGCTTAGAGCACACTTCCTTTCTTGAGTCACACCTACAAGACTCTCCTCAACAGTCCATGCTCCCAGGAACCCTCTCCTTGCCCTCTCCAAAGAGTGCAATTGGTTTTCCTTATCTTCCATACCCTTTCCACTCAACTGGGTGTATCCAGTCATAATCATTTCCGACACTTGTTCTTGGTGTCTCTTTGTGATGTAGACCATACACCATGTAACTAATTCATTTAAGCACACCCCTCAGGTCTGGAGAATAGTTACGGGGTTGTACAACCAATACCATGGCTAAGTTTTGTATCATTTATAACATTTTACCACCCGAAAAAGAAATGCCTTGCAGTCTCTGCATTTTCCTCCTGCTCTTTTGCAGCTATCCCTAACCACTAATCTTTCTGTTTCTGCATCTCTACCTCCATGAACCTTGCATATGAGCCAAATCACACAATACATGTTTTTTAAATTAATTTTTTCAATTAGCTTAGTATATTTGAGGTTCATCCATATCATGACACATACCAACCCTGCGTTCTTTTGTCACAGAATATTGTTTCATTGTATGGCTATACCCCAATTTTCCTATCTACTCATTGATTCATGTCCATTTGTATCATTTCCAATTTTGCCCTATTGTAAATAATACTGCTATGAATATTTCCACATCAGTTTGTGCACAGATAAGTGTTCAGTTCTCTCTGTATTCACCTAGGATAGAATTCCTGTTGGCCACCAGTAATATATAAAGGTTCTGTTATCTCTTCTTTTTGCTAACACTTGTTATTATCTGTCCTTTTTTTCCAAGTCATCCTAGTAGGCATGAATCAATTATTCATTATGGGGATATTTTCCAGGTCTCGCTTCCCGTCTGTGGGCAGACGGGTCTGGGTCTGGTTATCTTTTCCGTGCCGGTATCTCTCCAGATTCCTGGCATGGGGTAAGTGCTCACTGAGTAGTGACCAAAACGAATGGCTGATTCGGGAACGTTGAGCACCATAAAGAAAAGTCAACTGTTGCGGCCATGCTGATGTCTGGGAGCAGTGTAGACCCCACCAGTGATTGCCCCACTTGAATAGTGTCCTCCCAACAGCTGAGCTTTCAGTCTTTGCCAGGGAAACAACACACTTATGAACCACCTGAACGGAGCTAGAGAACATGCTAACGCCTGGGACACGGGCACATACAAAGGATCTAATCTGCAAAGCTGGGAAGGTCCAAAGCAGGTGCAGAGAATGAAGCAGTGGATAGCCCCTGGATTAGGTTGGGAAGATGGGAGGCAGTCATGCCTGGGATGTGGGGGGCCCGGACCAGAGACTCCGATCCACCGTGTAGATATCACTGACCTCCGAGAAATTTTGTCAGATAGCTTTAAAAGCTTAGCCATGTTCCCCAAGTCTTCTGGACTCCAGGGAAATTTTTGAAAGGGGCTATATGCATTCACTGAAGTAAAGCAATAGACATTCATTTCTCAATTTCAAAAAGAATTCTTGTTCTTTTGTATGGAAAGACTTCAAGTGGAGTGTCCCAATAATAATGTCATTGTGGTAAGTTTTTAATGTTTGAAACGGAGTCCTGTGTATCTGAGGCTGGTCTCCAACTTGCTATGCACCCAAGGCCTGAACCACTATGCCCGGTTTTGTGTATCCTGGAACTTCACGCATGTTAAACTAGCATTCTGCCAAGGGAACTGCATCCCCAGCCCCTGTCTTCTGTTTTCATATCAAACTCCATGAAGAGCTGTAGGGTGGCATTTTGCTTGTCTCCACATTCTCTGTTCCCAGTCTTTCTCCGAATTCTCACAGCAAAATGCAGCCAGGCTTGCCCACAGTGCCCTGGGCAGCAGTCTATGCATATGTCTAGTTATTTGTGCCCAGGGCATTTCCAGCAGTGTTTCTGAGCTCTGTAATTTTGCAAATGCCTTTTAAAAGTTTTTGATACACACTTGCCAGCTGGGACATAGGTTAGGCAGGCCGTGCCCTGGTTTACAATTGGGAAAATGAAGGCAGGGAGAAGGTAATTGATTTGTTCAGGGTCACACAGCATGTCGGGAACAATGCTGTGATTAGAGCTCGGAGACCTCAGGATCCAGCCCAGCCCTGCGGCGCGGGGCATCTCCCACTACTCCGTAGCTTGTCATCGTGGATTTCTGGAAGCAGCTCTCAGCTTCAGAACAGCCAGACTTGGGTACCAAGGTCAGGAGCATGGGGCCCGGTGGCCTTTTCAGCCATGTTTGAAAAGCTGCTCTGACCAGCTGTCAGAAGGAGAGCTCCACCCTGGAGAACACCCGCGTGTACTGCAGAAGCCAGCAGCCAGTTTCGAGGAAGGAAGGCTTAACTCAACAAGAGAGTTAGTCCCATATTTTCATCGGCTGCCGGCATAGGTCTGAACAGATACCCTTTTTCTTGCTCATGGCCCTATTCTTTCTGGCATTTGTGCTGTTTTCTCCATAACACTGCTGATGCTGGAAGCCAGCACCAGGATGGGAACAGCAGCCAACAGGAGCATCTGCTCCATGCCAGGTACTCCCTCCCAGGACGCACCTATTTCATGGTCCCCAAGAGCAGGAAGCTAAAGCAATCATCGGCGCTTGAACAGTGCTGCGGGCTCAGTCTGACTTCAGAGCCCACTCGTGTTCTGGAACACTGCAAGCCACACCCACCTCGTGTTCTGGAACACTGCAGGCCACACCCACCTGTTGCACGAGTTTCAGCTTTGGCTGCACACTAAACCTTGTCATAGACTCTCTTTGAACACAGGGACTAGGAAAAACCAAAGACGTTCAGGATGCTGCCACCACCTTACCGTGACGCAAGAGGGTTCTCCACTTTCTTATTTGTGACGTATTCCCTGTCTGTATCTGTGCTTTTCATATTAAAAACATACCAAAGTCGAGGGAGGCATCCCAGGTGTGTAGCCAGTGGAGAACATCTGCTAAGGCCCCTGTGTGTCCTGACCAAGGGCCTCCATGACACGTGGCTCCCTGAGAGGAGCCAGGGAGTGCCTCTATCCTTCTTTCCCCAGTTCACTGGCTATGCAGGTAGACTAGATTACTTCCCCCACCCCCTCTGGGCACCCTACACGACGATCTCATCTGTTTTATGGGTACATGCTTCCTTCCAGGCAAAAACCGGTTTTTTTTTAAGTTTATTTCTTTATTGTAAAATAAAACATTTTTTTGGTTGTAAAAATACTTGGAAGATCCAGAAAAATGCACAGGAGAAAATACTATTGCCCATAATCCTCCCTCTCAGACTTTCCAAGATAACCATAATATTTTGATGCATTTCTTCTAGCATTTTCCCCATGACTCCATATTTTCAAGGAAATGTATAACACATATTTATCAAGAATGTTAACAGAGCTGTCACAAGGGGAAGAGAAAGAAGTAGTGTCATTTGGCCTGCCGTTTACACTTGGCAGCCTCCGCAGCTGTGGCTGGGGTCACGTCCCTGTGACTCTACCCATTTGTCTCCCTTAGAGTGGAATCAGGTGTCATAATTGCCAAATGTGGTGGAATTGATTGACCCCCCCCACACACACTGCGTTTGCTATCCAGCCTGTGAGAAGCCTGGCCGCAGCCCAAGACAGGGGCCCCTGTACGAGCAACATTTCTCCAATGGGATGTAGCCAGGTATGCCCTGGAGAGCTTGCTAAAAGACATGTTCTAACCAGCAGCCTGGGTGGAGCCCTGAGCATCCCTGCTTCTAAATTTTCAGGCCACTGAGGGGTACCTGGTCCCTGGAGCCCATTTTCAGTGACAAGAAGTTAAGGATTAAACCTGTTTCCTTTCCTTTCACAAATGGATATTAAAGTCCTGCAGGGGGCCATGGACTCAGTAGGTGCTGGGGTTGAGTGAGAAGAGGTGATAATCCAAGGTTGAAACCAGGCTAGTAGCCTTGGCCTTATGGGCCAGCCTCACGCTCAACAACTGGTCTCAGCGGTGATTTCCTGGCTTGAGCCTAACCCATCAGGGGTTTCTGCACCAGCTCCCCCGAGAGCACCTTTCTTACAGAGCACATTGCCCCGTGTGCTTAAAATGATGGATATCCTCTCGGCTCCCATCTTCCCTTCAGGGTATAACTATCACACAAACAGGCCATTGGCCTGCCTTGTCTCGCCTGCCTCCTCTGCATTTATTTAGACAAAAAGAAATAGGACCCCACCCCTAGCAGCTCTAGTAGGCTCTTCCTTAAATATAAGGAGGACCCGTCCCAGTCCCCATCCCAAGGGTAGTGCCAGCTGCTTGCCCCCCCCCCCCCATTGACTTCCTCTGATGCGGGTGTAAATGGCAATGAGTAAAACCTCGGCCGCACTGTTTATCTGCACAATTTTGCTTATAGGTGTTTTCACCCCTTCCTTTATCTTACCCCAAAAACAACCCTATCAAATGGAAACTAATGCGCCCCCCCCACACACACACACACTTTGCAAAAAGGAAACCTGGGGGGGTGGTCTAAGTTCTAGAGGAACCCAGCAGGAAGAAAAGGCTGGGTCTAAAGCCCCTAGGTTTCCGCACTACTGTGACGCCAGGACCTGAAAGGGCTAGGGGCCGGGCATTCCAAGCCCTTGCTCTCCCCTGACTCCTCCCACCAGCCTACCCCCTTCCCTGGTGATCCTAGGCTCTCAAAGCACGGCCTGGGAAGGTCTCTCCTAGGTCACTGCCCTACGCCAGTCGCCAGTCGGTTTCTGTACAAGAAGTGGATATGGGATCCCTTGAGGGTGGGAGTAAAAAATAAAACAGAAAGATCTCCTTAGCTTTTGGATTTTTAATCAGAAGAACACGCAGGGCTTAGGGGGAAATGATTTCTTCAGGGGGGTATAAATGGGAAGAGAGTCTTAGAGTCAGTGACAGCCTGTTTTAATTTATAATTCTGCCTCTGTGTGAAACGCACAGAGAATCGAGGGGGAAATGAGTAATAATTCACTAAGGTGCTGTCACAGCCAGGAAGCAGGAGGGCTCTCATCCACGGCGCTGCCAAGAAGGCCGAGTTAGAGGAAGGACATGGAGAGCAGGGAGACTCTCAGAGAGCTCCTCTCCCACATGGAGACAGAAACCCACTGCCTCCTGAGAGCATGGCCTGGAGCTGCGGGGGTTATGTCGGAGTAGCCTAGCCTAGAACAGCCCCCCAGCTCTCCTGGCTGAGCACATACCCGGAGCCATTCTCTAGGGAAAGCTGGAGGAAGCGAGGTCTCTTTCCTCCCGTTTCTGGGGCACCCTGGGAAATATATGCCATAGAAAGCTGATGCAATGGGAAGGACCGTGGGCCCCCTGCTGCTGAACCTTCAGGCGATAGAGAGGCCACTTTATCTGGATTATTTAAGCAGGCTTGCCTAGGTGATGTCACTGGAATGAGGCTTTCCCAAACATCAACTGCTTAAACCAACATTAAGAGCACCTGTCCCATGAGCACTGAGGTGGGCGGGACCTCAGGGACCCAGGCTGACTGAGGCTTACTCAGGAATAAAAGCCACTGACAGCAAAGGAAGGGAGATGGAGACTGATGTTAACTCCAAGGCTTTTCCCAGATTAGAGCCATATGAGACACCCCAAATTCCACCCATCTAACCAATGGCACAGAACTCGGCCCATGGCTTCACTTTACTGCCAGCAAAATGGGGCCAGTGGAAGATTTTGAACACTATATGTCTGTGCAGACAGGGGTAATTTAAGAAATTCAAGCCAACCACTCCTCCCCCAGTTAGTACTCCCTCGGCCACCACCACACTCTTGTCATTGTGTCCACCATTACAGATGTATGTTATCTGTCTATACATTGTCCTTTCTTGGGCCATGTTCTTAGTGGGTCAGCATTAAGAGTATGGAATTGAGAAGCAGACAACATGGGTTCTAGTTAGTCCCAGTGGGATGACTCTTGACTGTTTGAATTTGTTTAGCACTTCTGAGCCTCTGCCTTGTCATATACAAGACCAAGCTGTGGGGTTATTATCACCATTTCACTTATAAAGAGGGATCAGAGAATCACTAACCAACATACACACACACACACACACACACACACACACACACACACACAGGAGAGGGGGTGAGGGAGATCGGAGTCGCTCTTCTCATTGGGTGGCCACCATTGATGAGGATAACTTGCTCATCCCTGACTAATTTGCTTTGTGTTAGCATGGTTTGCCATTAGTGTACTGGTAATGATGGTGTTCCACAATCTCTCCACAGGTAAACTTCCTGCTGGTTTTTACTGTAACTTTGAAGATGGCTTCTGTGGCTGGACCCAAGGTCCACTTTCACACCATATACCCCGGTGGCAAGTGAGGACCCTAAAGGATGCCCATTCCCAGGACCACCAAGGTACCACCCTCTATTTCCTTCTCCCTGGTGTCCACCCCAGTGTCAAAGTAGATAGATAAGAGACATAGGATCCTGACCTAGCACCCCGAGGCATCTCCTCATGTGCAGTATTCTACTTCAAACTGACCTGGGATGCTCACACTCAAAGCTGGCCTGGGATGTTCACACCCAAAGCTGACCTGGGATGCTCACTCTTAGCTGATCTGGGATGCTCACCCCCGAACTCCTCTTCATCCTTTCCTGAGCTCTAGAATTATTGAACATGTCCAAACTCAATGTCCCCTTTTATTACTTAGATGTAGAGCTTTGATGAGGAATTAGCTGAAAACCAGCAGTAATAATCCCAATAAAACCAATCTTTTATTTAATGCTGAGGTCCTACCAAGGGTCAGACACATAATGCATTGGGAAATAGAGAAAGCCATAGCCCCCTTTGTGCCTGGAAAGACAGGGAGACCTTGTATCACTTGCCTGGGCTGTGCCCTGGGAACCTCACTCCATAGCTGGGTTATTTCTTGTGGCCCAGGCTCCTCAGACGTCTCCCACCAACTTCAGCTGGTAATAACTGCCTTCCCCTCCTTGGAGTCTTTCTCACCGTTATCCCTGCTCAGTGCCAGAAAGGCATGCCCACCTTCATCAGAGATGGCTGATACCAACCCAGAGATACCAGCTGGAGGGGTTAGAAACAGAAGATCAGAAAGACTAGTCTGGCTGAACAGGACCTGGCTCTACCATTCAGCCACAGTTCAGTCTTGATCCATTGCCAAGGACTAGGCAGAGACAGGCTCATGTGCCCCCCTCTAGGAAGGATGGGGCTGGGGACCAGGCTCTGTCTACATCCTTCCTACTTGCATATGCCCTCTCTAGGTGGAGACACCCTCTCCAAAACCCCTCCCTTCCCAAGCAAACATTACACACCTTGAAGGTTATTTAAGAAACACTACCAGGAATGTGTGAGAGGATGGTGTTCAAGTGCACTGTGATGGACCCCAGAGACTGAGTGTCTCTGTTTGCCCTCCTCGGACCTAGCTACAGCATACAGAGTTGGCTTTGGTCTAGGACGCTTGCACAGTGGCCCTGTTACACGGAAGGCTGAGTCACTGCAGCCAGGGTGGAGTTCCACAGAGGCCACTTACTTGATGGGAAGGGCCCAGGAGCTCCTTATTCTTCTACCCTTCTTACTTCATGTTACTGGCACCTTAGTTCCTTATCTGCAGAAGCAGCTGAGAAGAGTGGGACCCACATGTCCCATATACCTGCTCCCACTTTGATTTCTCCACCTGCAAAGATTACCCAGTCATGGTGGAAATATCCAATGATAGGGCTCTCACCACCTCTCCAGTAGTGGACCTCATTGTCTCGACAGTTCTAAATCTCAGGCCATTTGTCCTCAGCCCCAGGACATAGCTACATTTTCATAAATCCTATCCATGGTTATGATGTTGTGTACACTTGTAAGTTCCCTACAAGTACAGTACATATGACTGACTGATCTTTGCCCATCTGTCCAACCCAAACTCTTTTGTCATGAGCTTTTTGATATCTTTGGTCTGTAGAGACAGCTCTGCTCTGGACCCACCCACATCCATTACTCGGCAGCAATACTATATCAAATTTTACTAAGAGATGAAAGAAGGTAGAAACGAAGGACTAGACACATGTTTGGGTCTTTGTGGACCATTGAAAAGATGGGAGCTCCCATCTCCATAGCACCGTAGTTCCTAGAAAGCTAGACAGTTTTCTTTTTCCCACCAAGATGATGGGCATTTCATCATCTCCCAGATTTTCAGGCCAAGTGATACCGAGGAAAGGCAAGAAATTAGCTTCCCTGGGAAGGGCATGGGCCACAGGATGACCTGGGCCCTGGAGCAAGGTGAGGAAAACGAAGGTCATGAGCCTACTGGAAGGCAAGGACTGCGGAAACCACACATGAGGGGGTCCGGGGAGTCCAGCCTGAGTCCAACTGCTCCTGGCTGATGTCTTTGAGAATGTAGAGATGTGGCAGCCAAGTGCATGGTGCGGGGACCTCCTAGGCAGTTTGGAATGAAGGACTTAGCTGAGGTGCTTATCCTCTGTAGTCAAGAAGCCAGCATCCTCAAAGATAGGCTAACTCAGAACCCTGTACGGTCAACTAACCGGACCCCTCAGTAACTCTTTTCCTGCCTCCCCAGGCCATGTCCTATCGCTCAGCACCACTGACGCCCTCACTTCTGAAAGTGCAACCATGACCAGTGCGACGTTCCCTGCACCGATGAAGAACTCTCCTTGTGAG